CCGCTGAAAATTATCCTAGACCAACCTTGGCAGCACCAGGGAGAGAGAAGCTCTTCTTGGTGCAGATGGCCAGAGCCACTGGAGCCTGGGCAGAGGGCAGGGAGTTGGACGGGGCCTAGCAGCAGGGTTTTGGCTCTCGGAACACAGCAGCCTCCTACCCAGCTGGCCCCATCATGGTCTCCGCCCTTTCACTTCTGTGTTTATTAGGAAACCATTATTCCTTTCTCATAGAGATATAAATCTTGCTTCCAGACATGGCAAGTGTCAAGGTTCATGCCTGGGTCCCTCGTTCATCCTGCTGAGAGAGGGGAAAACAAAATATTGTGACCGGGAGATAACAGGATATGCTGACATCTAGATATCAATACAGAGGGATATAAGGATTCCAAGGAGAAGGGAATTTGGGAGAATGGAAGAACTTTCTTACGCCCACTAAGATGGCACCATCCCCTAAATTTTACATCTGTGCTTGAGCTTTGGGATAGGCAGTGGCTCAGCCAGTTCGGTCACTGTCATCAATGTAGACAGTGATGGGAGAGGGGAGGACACACACCGCCTCCTGAGAATGACTCATACGGTGCTCTTCCCACCTCAGAGCCTTTGTACTTGCTTTTCCTATGCCCAGAAAACTCGCTGCCGGGCTTTTCTCAGAGTTGCCTCATACTCAGTCTTCTAAGCGCAACTCAGATGTCACTTCAGTGGGGAATTCTCTCCTGGTCCATCCTCATCCCCTCTCTCCTCTATCTGTTTGTTTCCATCATGGCACATCACTATATATAAATGACAAATTTACCTTTGTTTGCCTGCCTGTTGTCTGTCTCCTTCTCTTGACTCGAAGCTCCATGAGGTTAGAGATAATTATCTGTATTAATCACTGCTCTGTGCTCAGCACCTTAGTACAGTGTCTGGCACACAGTAGATGCTCAACTACTGTTGTCTGCTTGGATGGTTGGTTGGTAGGTTGAATGTTTCAGTGGATTTGGGTTGATGAATGAATGGATGGATAGATGTGGATGGATGATGGATATGGATAAAGAGAAGGATGGAAAAATGCACAGAAGAAAAGAAGGAAGGAAGATTTAGCCACCAAAAACAAGGTGGTAGAAAGAGCACTGGTTTTGGAGTCAGAGGACATAAGTTCTAATTTGTATGACTTCAGCCAAGTGGCATATAAGTTCATAGCCTAAATTTTTATAGCTGTGAAATGGCTAAAAATGCCAATTTAACAGGACTGGTGAGAATGAATAAATGAGATAAATTATGTAAAAATAATGTGACTATTATAAATCTTCCATAAATGTAAGAAATTATGTCAATAGTAGAAATACAGCCTTCCCTGCCATCCTCCAGTACCAAAGCACCTGTTGGAGTGGAAGGCAGGAGTCAGGGCCCTGGAGGGCAGACCTGGTATGTGAGGTCCTTGATCCTTTGGGAGCAGACTTTTGCCTCTTGGAGCTCCCTTCATTTCAGGCCAGCCTCCACAAATATATTTTTTCCTCTCTGCCATTCCGATCCTCCACTTGTGTTTTGGGGGTGGTGGAAGGTGGAAGCCGAAGCCCCGTGTGTGGGTCATATAATCCTATAACCCAAGCAGTTTTGGAGAGGAACAGCTTGCGTCCTTTATGACAGCTCAGTTTTGACAACTCTGACTTATTCATGGTGGGGGCAGGATTATCTCAACAATATCTTAGGGCAGGGGGACCTTGCTTCCGGTTCTTACTGGCTCACTTAAGCACAGCACGGTCGTGCCTTTTTTGTTAAGTACAGCCACTGTCTCTTTATTCACTTATTTCCGGGCAGCCTGCAACCCAATAAAAACTCTCTTCACCCAAAACACTTATTTGCCTCCTGAAGCCTGGGAAAGGTGTTCCCAAGGGCAGTAAACTCAGAATAATTTTTTGGCTCATTTTAAGCTGGTGCTTTGCATGGCATGTGAAAAGATGATGCTCTCATTAGAAACCCTAGGAAGCTGGACAGCAGAACAAACTGAAAAAGCCAGACTCCTGCCCAGCTGCTCCTGGGCCTGTCCTGCCAGGACAGGTCTTTGGGTGGTTTGAGGTGACGTAAGTTATTGCAGCACTGAGAATATGTGACTGGTGTACAGAGATGCAATTTAGAGCCAGTGCTTGGTGGTTTTAAGTTATCCATGCCCCATCTTTCCCCACTTGCACAGAAAATTGAAAGCTGATAGATGTTGAAATCTGGTTTTCAGATGTTTTTTATCTGTAGGACCTAACTGAACTCTGAGATACCCATAAATATATATGCAATCCCCATGTTGTCGGCATCTTCCAGACTACGTAAATAAATTCTCTGATCCGGCTACAGGGTACCAGATCAGAACAAACCCACTTACCAGAATTGAATAATGCACAGCTATTTGCTGAGAGTATTGTGTGTGCACGTGTGGGTGGCTCTGGCTCATGTCTTGTCATTCCAGGCCAGAGCCTTGTCTCTTGGTACTCGCTGATGGCGAACACATAGAATGAAATCTGGTCTCCAGTTTCTTAACACGAGGGAAAAAGAGGACCAGCAGCTGTTTCTGTTTAACAGTGATTATCTCTGGGACTGTGAGTGTTTTGAAATATTTTTCTTCTTCTGTCTTATCTGTAATTCCTGATCCTTTTCTACATTAATTGTGTGTTGCTTTTTTTAAGGATAAGGAAGCAGTAACTTTAAATTATAATGAGGAGGAAAAGATTTCCTCTTATTAAGAATAAAAGGAGTTATTCTTTGCCTTTAGTGAGCTGGAGTCATGGAAGAATTTAAATACCCAAGACACATCTGTTATTTAGCAAAGTGCTGTGGAGGCCTTTGGGTTATTTTAGCACTTTGTCTTTAACAAAAGTATATTTTCCCACGCCTGATCTCAGCTGACTGAGGTGTTGCCATGCTGAGTTCGGCATTGTGCATATTCCTCATCAATCACTTGGTGCGTCTTGGGGCTAAGCTGCTCTTTAAGCAGTCACCCCTTGATGCGATGCATAAAAGTGGCCTGAACCTGATCTGTTCATGGTCTTGGGACAGACAAGCCCATACAACAGGTGAGGTGAAAGGCAGGAGGACAGATGACAGGGCTGGCAATGAGAAACAATATTCTGGTGGCTGGTGTAGTCCTGCCTCTCACCAGCACCTTTCCACACACATGCCCCAGTGGGTACCCAGCTGAGTGACAGGTGGGCTTAGTGATGCAATAGTTGAAGGCATGGCGGTCGGGAGGAGTTGGCATAGATCCCCTGGAACGGTATTTTTTTAAAAATTTACATTGCCCAAAGTTGCTGAGACCATGAGTTATGTTGGTAGAACACACACTGGTTTTCAGACTATACTCTGTAGCACCGTCTAACTAGGAGGCTAGTTACAGAAGTGTCTTCCAAGTGTGGTCAGAATTCCCTGGGCTGCTGGTGGAAGTGCACTTCCTGGGCCCTGTGTCAGACCTGTCTAATCAATGTCCCTGGGGTACATCACTACTCCTGAAGCATCTCCCTGGAATGTTTTGGCAACCAGATATGCAATTTCCCATGACTAGAATCATTATTTATATGCAGAGTTTCATGATTAGGAATTGTCTTTTAAAAGTCATCAATAGCCACCCCCCCCATCTTTTCATCATCTATCAAATTACTGGGCACCTATTTCATATTTTCATAAGTACTGGAAATGACCTGGAGGAATCCAAGACAGTGTCCTGGCTTCCATACTTGTGTCTTTGCGACCTTGGGACCTTAGGATGATGGAAATGCCAGGAGTTTGGGAAGGAAGTTGAGCTTGAGAGAAATTGAGTTCAGGGTCTCCTTCCCTCACATCAACATGGGCAGCGCTGTGTTAAATATTGAACGTATTTCCATATGTGAGTTCTTCTGCAAAAGATATATTCCTCTCATTAAAAAAGTAGGGGAGAGTGAAAGAGACAGTGAGAAGGAAAAATTTTTAGAGGGACCTAATGATGATTACAATCCCATCCAAATCTAGAATGCTGTAGTTCACAACTTGAACTTGTCAGAATCATATGATAAAGGAAGATTTACTTTTGCCTTCATTCTGTCACTTATCACACAAGCAAGGCGTGATGGTTCAGAGTTTAGTGTTGTACATAACCTGTCAACACCTCGAGGATGAGGGACCCCGCAGGCACACACCCAGTCTTTTTCTAATGAACCCTTCCACATCACGGTATGTAAGCTAACTGATATAAATTGTTAGCTGTCCTCCAAACAGTATGGTCACCAGTGCAGATGACCAGAGTACTTTGAAATGGTTAAAAGGAGAGACTCTACCTGTATTGTTTATTCCATGGAAGAACATCTCAAAGTGAAAGAAAATGAATGAATAGCTGCAACTTCTTTTGTGGGGACTGGGGAGTGTGTGTAGGGGTTGTTTGCTGGGTGGAGGGAAAGCAGGAGAGGGAATGCAGGATCTCTGCTCTCTGAATCATGCCTTATTCCTTGGAAACTTGTCATTCACAAATCCAATTATATGCAGGTAGAATGTCAATTCTGACAGAATGAAACCAATGCATGCTTCATATGGTTGAATTTTTTAAATGAAATCCTGCTTTACTAGCAGGTTCTATTTTCATAAATGTCTATTTGGGGAAAAAAAGACCAAATCATATACTTCCCCACGTACTCTTGAAAAGCTTTAATCAATGTGTCAACAGACAGAGCTGTTGGGTGTTGTTGTGTGCGTTTTGCCAAGATGGGGAGAGACACATGAGGGTCAAGAGAAAGCCTCTTGGCTTTACCTCTGACCCTCTGCTCTTTATGAGCATCTGGACATTGAGTTCCCCATTTGTAAACAGAGGTTATTAAATTAGTCTTTCCAAAGGCTCTGATGAAACCACTCTGAGGTTGAAACTCTTTACAAATAAAAGTGCTTTGCCACAAGAGTGCCTATTAGTTATAAATGAGGATGGAAGGCAGGCAGCTGGCAGGGAAGCACAGGGTCCTCCTGGCTTTGATTTACCACTTTTATTTTCTTTGCTTTTTTTTTTCTCTTAGGTTTTGATTTTTCTGAATGTGTTTGCTGTTCAGGAATAAAAGGGTATTCTGTGGTTGGAATCAGGTATGCCGTCTATAGGTAATTATTTTTGTTTAGGAGTCAGATAGATCATACTTTGAATCTCTGTTCTGCTAGCTATTTAGGGCTGACTTTGAACATATTGCTCAACCTCTCTGCACCTTTGTCATCTTCTCTGGGAAGTGAGGTGGTATCTTCTTTCTTGGTGTGTGAAGCTGGACTCCTTTGTGTAATTTTAAGAACGTCCACTGCTGTGCATTCTGCTTGTGAATGTCCCTACCCCAGCCCTGATGACCCTCCTGCCTCATCTTTCTTGTTTTCTCGTAGCTCTTAGTGCCTCTCATATACTAAATGATTGAATTTGTTAATGTTTATTGCTTACTGTATGTTACTCCCCCTCTAAGAACATAGGTTCCATGGAGGCAGGGATCTGTGTTTTGCTGAGATATCTCAAGTGCCTAGAGCAGTGCCTGGTAGGTGCTTGATAGTTATTTGTTGAATGACTACTCAGGGCTTTTAGCTGTCTCCCCTTTCTTTTATGTTCGTGCTTCTACTTAGTGAGACTTATTTTGGAACTGGTTCTATAATTCTATGTTTCATATTCTTCTTGTCTTGTTTCTTTCCTTCTTCTGGAGATTTAGTTCATTAGATCACACCCGTCCAGCTTTAAATATTGTGCTCTTCTCTGCATTGCTGAATGAGTTTCACTAATGAATATTCTAGAATCTGAATTTGGTAAAAAAAAAAAAACAAAAAAACAAAAAAATTTCTACTTTTTGTTTTAAAAGTATGACTTTCTAGTAAAAAAAAAATTAGTCACTGAAGAACTACCTAAATTTGCTTAAACACACTAAAACTTTTTTTCTTAAGTCATAAGCTGGCATAAAAAGTTCTGGAGGGGAAAAAATCTGACAACTTTCCAAAACTTCCAGCTTCTTTAAAGTAGCTGATTAGTTAGTTACTGTTAAAATGAGCTCTGACTGTTTTTAAAAGGAACAGCAAGGATTTGGATGAAACATCTTTGAGTTTGGAGATGCAAACCAGATCCACGTGTGCATCTGTCTGTCTGTATTTTTGGTCTGATAAAAAGCAGGAAGTAGGAGAATCTTGACAAGCTTGATTTGGCTGGACTAAACTGATTTTGTTTCTTCCGTACATTTTAGTGTCAAAATTCAGGCACAAGACATTAATAGGATAAAGACAAAAAAACAACTGATCACCTCAATCAGTGCTTAAAAAAAGCACTCAGAATCCAACATCCTTTCCTGATTAAAAAAAAAAAAACACTCAGCAAAATAGCATAGCAGAGATCTTCTTCAGTGTAATAAAGGACAACTACAAAAAGCCCACAGCTAAATTGTGCCTGATGGTGAAAAATGGGCTACCTTACCTTAAGATCAGGAGCCAGACAAGGATGTCCACACATGCCACTTCTAGTCACCATCATACTGGAAGTCCCAGCCGGGGCAATAAGGCAAGACAAAAACATAAAAGACATCAGATTGGAAAGAAAGAAAGAAAACTGTCTATTCACAGATGACAAGATCTTGTGTATAAGAAATCCTGAGGAAAGCACACACATACTATTAGAACGGATAAACAAGTTCGTCAAGATTGCACAATTCAAAATCGATGTACAAATATCATTTGTGTTTACAGTAACAATCTGAAAAGAAATTAAACAATTTTGTTTATAATGGCATCAAGAAGAATAAATTACTTAGAAATAAACTCAACAAGAGAAGTTCAAGATCCATAATGGAAAACCATAAAATAGCACTGAAGACATTAAAATATACTGAAATAAATAGAAAAACATCTTTTGTTCATGGATTAGAAGACTTAATATTGTTAAGATAGCAATATTCTCCAAATTGGTATACGGATTCAATGCAATCCCTATCAAAATCCCAGCAGGATTTTTTTTTTTTTGCAGAAATTGGCAAGCTAATTCTAAAATTTATATTTTATGATGCAAATGCCAGGAGCCCAGAAGAACCAAAACAAATTTTTAAAAGAAGAACAAAATTAGAAGACTCCCACTTCACAATTGCAAAACTTACTACAAAATGACCATAAGGAACACAGTGTAGTACTGGCATAAAAATAAACATACAGATCAATGGAATAGGATTCAGAGCCCAGAAATAAACCTTTAAATTTATGATGAGTTGATTTTGGACAAGGATGCCAAGACAATTTAATGGGGAAGAGAAAAGACTTTTAAGAAACAGTGCTGGGACAATTGGATAGCCACAGGAGAATGAATTTGAACTCCTACTTCATACCTTATGTGAAAATTAACTCAAAATGGAAAATAGATCCTAATATATGAGTAAAAGCTAAAATCATAAAACTCTTAGATGAAAATACAGGAATAAATCTTCATGACCTTGGGACAGGCAGTGGTTTCTTAGATTTGATACTCAAAGCACAAGCAGCAACAGAAAAATAAATAGATTGGACTTGGTCAAAATAAAGAACATTTGTTCTTCAACAGATATCATTAAGAAAGTGAGGACAACCTATATAATGAGAGAAAATTTTTGCAAATCATATATCTGATTAAGGATTTGTATCCAGAAAATATATTTAAAAAATGCTTACAACTTAATGGTAAAGACAGATAACAATTTTCAAATGGATTACGGATTTGAAAAGACATTTCTTCAAAGAAGATATATAATAAGCACATAAAGAAGATGCTCATCTTCACTAACTATTAAGAAAGTACAGATCAAAACCACAATAAGATACCACTTCACACCCACTAGAATGGCAACAATCAAAAAGAAAGACAATAACAAGTGTAGCAAGGAAGTAGAAAAAATGGAATGCTCATTCATTGAGGGTGGGAATGTAAAAGAGTGCATATATTTTTGAAAAACAGTTTGACAGTTCCTAAAGTTATTAAACTGAAAGTTACCATATGACCCAGCAATTCTACTCCTAGGTATCAACCCAGGAGAATTGAAAACATGTGTGTACACACACACATGCACACACACACACACACACACACACACACACTTATACATAAATATTCAGAGAAGAAGCATTATTCACAAAAGTCAAGAAGTGGAAACAATCCAAATGCTTACCAACTGATGAATGGATACAAAAAATATACAATGGAACATTATACTGCAATACAAGGGAATGAAAGATTAACACATGATGCAACATGGATGAACCTTGAAAACATCATGCTATATGAAAGCAGGCAATTTGAAAAGTTTATATATTATTGTACGATTCCATTTATGTGAAATTTCCAGAACAGGCCGAACAATAGAAATGGAAAATAGATTAGCAGTGGTTGTCAGGACCTGGGGAAAGGGAATATGGGAAGTTATTGCTAATGGACACAGGTTTTCTTTTGGGGGTGATAAAAATGTTCTAAAATTAGGCACTGGTGATAATTTCACAACTCTGCACATACTAAAAGCCAGTGCATTGTACACTTTAAAATAGTGAATTTTGTATTATATGAATTGTATCTTAACAAAGCTGTTATCACAAAACTCAGACACGTGGGGATTAGGATTATGGGCTCTTCATTGCTTTTTATAAGATGCCACTGGAATGAATCATAAAGATGAAAGTACACATATAGCAGCTTATTTTCTTAAAAATTTCCTCCATATTTTTCTTCTCTATTTTATTGATGGAAGCTAGAAATGCTTTTGTGTTGTTGACATGAACCTTTTTATTGCTTCATCATTTGTGTAGCAATGGAAAATGGAATAGATAGTAACCTTAAAAAGAAGTGTTTGATTTTGGGGAGAGATTTTTATCATTGGCTGCTACCTTTTGAAATGATTCACGTGCATAGTCCTCTTGTATATTAAAAAATAACCAATGTAGTGAAGATGCAGAGTTCTAATTAGAATTTCAAATCTATGGGGATCTTCAGTAGAGGTGAAAATATATTGCCTGTGAAATCTTAGAACCAGATTTGTTTAGTGGGAAAATAAATATTTTTGTTCTTCTTATAGAAAATCTCACCTATAGTTCTTTTCAAAGCAATGTCCATTTTTCCAAGTCTAGGCATCTTTTATAAAAATGGTATATTGTCAGTATTTGTTAAATCGATTGGTAATATTTCTGGTCAACATGCATATTGTCTATTTAATTACTATTACAGTCAAGGAAATTGTGGTCATGGTCTATCTCCAGTGTTCTACCTAGTAAAAATAAAAGCTCTTTTAATATTCTTCCTGGGATATCGATTTAGAAGGAAAGGTTGGGCTCCATGTTTACACTTAGCATGCTTGCCTGGTGGTCTCTCCCCTTCCACAGTGTTTCCACATGCTCAGTGCCATGTCTTCTACAAAGACCGGCATGCCGTGGGACATTTCTTTGCATGCTTTTGTCAAAATACAGTTGCCAACGGATGTGTTTATGATTTGGGATCCAAGGGCTGGGGACCTACAGGTCAACTGAAAAAATAGATTTTTTTTTTTTTTGCCCTCCTTCTCACCTCCCACCTTTGCTGCTCACAGGAAGATCTGTCTGCACTGCAAGTGCCCTCAGGAGGAGCACATGGTGACGGTGATGCCGCTGGAGATGGAGAAGACTGTCAGCAAACTCATGTTTGACTTCCAGAGGAACTCGACCTCAGATGACGACTCAGGCTGCGCCTTGGAGGAGTACGCCTGGGTCCCGCCTGGGCTGAAACCTGAGCAGGTACTGTTCTTGATGAGAGCAACTGTGGCTTGGCTTTTACATTGTCTTACCCATCCTGCTCCATTCCAGCTCAGAAGGAAGAGTTGACTCGACTGATTCAAAGAAGTGGTTGGGGATCCATGTGTTGGAGATGTCTGGGACCACAGTGGGAAATGAGGAAAAGAAATGAAATTGAGCCTTTTGTGAGCCATACTTATTCATTGTGTACTGCCATGAACGGTTAACAGAAGATAGTACAGAAATTTATCAGAAATGTTGGCTTTGAAACATTAGATAGTGAAACTTCAATTTTGGAGAGGGAAGGGAGTCCTGCCTTGGCCATGAATCTTAATGTTAAGATTCTTTGTAAAGCAGAGTGAGGAAATGTATATTCGCCTGTTCTCCCCAGTGATATATATATGCTATGTTTAAATATTACACTTGGCCTTGCTTTACAAAGAAAGACATTGGCATTTCCTGAAATATTTTGGCACTACCCACAGGCTGTAAATATTATTGGCTCAGTGAGATGAGCTTGGTTTCTTTCTGTTTCACTGCATTTTTCTCAGTGATATACAGTCTCTACTTTGCATTTCTCAGTAATTGGAATTTTCTCTTCCACCGGCTTCAATGTTGGCTGAGAAGCCCCTGCTGTTGGCTGGACATTTTCATGATCTTTTCTGTGCATCTTTTAGAGACAGGTTTACCAGAATCTTAAGTGTTTAACTACGATTCCCTTCCTCTGACACAGAAAGTTTCTTGCTCTGGAGATCTTTATGTCTGACAGAATGTTTTGAAGTTTAAAATAAACACTGAAATTTTAACATAGGAACTTTACTTTTGACATACTTTTGAAATTTTACTTTTGAAATTTTAACATAGGATCATACTTTTGGATAAAGTTCTTTATGATCAAGGAAGACCCAAGGCTTCATCAACAACTTAAGAATGGGACCCTGACAATACCTCTTTGGCCATTTCTCATTTTCTTCTTCCAACACTGAGGTTGCAAATCGGCTGATGAAATGAAGCGCATAGGCAGGATTTCTTTAGCCACCAAAGTATTGTTTAAATTTTTGAATGAGTTTCTAATGCTTAATAATTAGGAATTTTTATTTAAAAGTTTATATTTATGTCTGGAAAATTTAAGGATCCGAAATCTCATTTCTGCCAGGATTGGTGTTCTGGCTATTGAGTCGAGAGCTGGCCATTCTTTCTAGACAAAGTTTGATCTCTCCCTCCAGTCACCCTAGTCTCCACCAAGCCCACTTTATCCCTTTTTGTTAGCTTCTTAAACCCTACAGACACTTCAGTTTTTTTGATCTCCTGTCTAATTCTTACCATGGATAAAATATCTCAGAATAGAAACATTCACAGGAAATAATCTCCATGAGAATTCAAGGGAATTCTGTGTTGGATACTAGCAGGAAGACATGAGAGCATTTTCTGTTTGTAGGCTGAGGTTATATATTTCTTCTGTTTCAGTAAGGATTGTATTATTAAAGAGTACATTTAAGAGGAGTGAAAATATTTGAGGCTGTCTAGAAACTCAAATGAGGTGGTGGGTGACTGAGTATCTTTCCTTGACATTACCATTGTGCCCCTGGTACTTGAGCAATGAATTTTCACACCTAAATACATCTGTGAGCTTGTTTCATTTTCTTGCTAACCTCATTTCCAGCAGCTTCTAAGAGATGCATCTTTCTTTTGTTCACTTTGCTTCCTGCTAAATTGGACCCTGAAATTTCAAAGTTAAGCTATTTTCAGTTCCCTGCCCAGGTAGATTCTTTTCTAAGATGATCGAACATCAGTCTATGATGCTCAGATTCAGAGATTTTCTATTGAGCCAAGAGAACAGACAGTTGCAGAAGCTAGTTCTTGGTAAAATTGACCAGTTTGCAAAGTGAGTGCTTATGGTGTTTTGGAAGCCACTTTGACTCATCTGAAATGAACGTCTTTGGGAAAGTATAAAACAATGCTCTTTGGGTTTTTTTTAAAAGAAAATGATTAATACTATTAGACACATGGTTTGAATTATGTCAGATGAAAGGCTATTCCTTTCTCTTATAATTCGATTGGGGTTTTTTTGCATGATTTTCTCTATCCCCTACACTTACTCATACCTCTATGACATAGATGATTAGAAAGGGGAATTGTTCTTCAAGACACTATCTCTTCAAGTTATTTGAAGGGTTCTATATTTGCCTGATAAAATATGACTCTATATTAAGGATATTTGAAGGGATTATGTGGCATGAAAGAAATGGGCTTCAAATTTTTTAATTATGAGATCCTTTGAAGTTTATAACTTACAGAACTGTTTATAAGTTTGAAGACTTTCAAAACCTTGTACAGTATGTTCTAAGATTAGAAAAGCTTGAGTCATAAATGCCTTTCAACAATAAAAACTCTGATGTTTAATATCATATTAGTTGTCTCTGGTTTCAGAAAAAGAACATTTTTCTATTGAGAAATTATAGTGAATGTTAAAATGCTTTGTGCTGGAGGCGAAATACTAAAGACTAGTTAGAAACCTTTCATTTTAGTCCCTGATTGTGGAGTTGGTTAATACAACTTCAGGTGATATTCTTTATTATTCTATTTCTTCTGAGAAATGCTTTCAGTGAAATATAATGCAAATGAAAGTCACCTCCCATTTTGGGATGTCTTCTTGAATAAGGGCATTTAATTTTAGAAAAAATCTATTAGCTATAAAACCCAACTTTCTTAAAATGATATGAAACGTAATAAATATAAGATGATGCCAGAAAGCACAGCCATTTATCTTGTGATTTTTAATGACTGGCCTAAAAATTCTTCAGAGAGGTTGCTCAGATCCCTGCCTCTGTTTACTCCACAGAAGGTGTTTAGTGTCATCCAGAAAGCCCTGCGGTGGTAGAACAGAGGACAGGAGTCACCCTGGTTGACCATCTTAAGTCATCTATAAGGCTCCAATTTCTCCTCAAACTCATAACAATTCATAACGCGCCCTGTTTCCTAGAGATGCTGTGATTATAATTTTATCGTACATAATACCTTAGGAAAGACTTAGGAAATATTCAGCAAGCTTATAAGAAAAGTAAATGGTGGGCAGTCTTTCTCAATCTCAGCACTATTGACATTTTCAACTGGATAATTCTTTGCTGTTGAGGCTTCCTGTGCATTTCCAGATGATGAGCAGCATCACTGGCCTCTACCCAATAGATGCCAGTAACATACACCGCCGCTCCCCTGGTGTTTGGGTATCCAACATGTCTCGAGACATTGCCCAGTGTCCTGGGAGATGGATTGAGTACCACTGGGCGAAAGTGATATTAAAACCTGGAGTGTCTGTCAGCAAAATCCTGGCCCAATTGAGATAAAAAGGATGGCTCAATTCAACAAACATTTATTGAACATCTGCCATGTTATAGCTCCAGCATAATAGCTGCTGCCCTGTAAGGAGGTCAGGTATTTGGCAAGTGGAAAAATGGTGACCCCAGGCCACTTGAGCAGAGGTCAGTGCCCTTGGAGGCAAATCGTACTCCCCAGTGAAGAATTGGAGAGGTTTGAGTAGGCAGTGGGTGGGTCACCTTTTGTTCTCCAAAACAGAATTGCTTTTTCCTTTTATAAAGGGAAGAATTCCTCATTTAAGAAAAAAAGAAAATATGAAACATCTAAGAAAACAGATAAAAATGACTCATGGTTTCACCAAAGAATATTGTTTGCCAAACTTTTTGCATGTATGTAACAAGTATCTATGTATATGGAGGTACAATTCTGTTTTATTTTGGACAAAAATGTGATGATGCTATCCACTTATTATGATTTTTTTCAATTCATGTATTATGAAGATTTTTCTCTCTCAGTACATTTAGATCCAGATTGCCTTTTGGAATGCATGTATAGCTGGTTCTCCATTGGTAGTTCTGACTTGGAGTGGTACCACCCACCACTAGGGGGCATTTGGAAATGGACATATGGGAAGAGGTAGTTATTGTCAAAATGACTGTTTTAATGGGTAGGAGCTTGGGATGCCAAACATCCTGAAAAGTTTACCAGATGAATCTGTACAAAGGAGAATTGACCCCTCCCAAACACCAAGAGTACCACCAGGGAGCAACTCTGAGCCAAAGGTTTATTTTTGAACATGTGCGTTTTGGGCTGCTTTCCTCAATATTAAATAAGGTGACAGCAGCCAACCTTCCTGTACAACCGCCTGTCCCTCTCCTGAAGAACAATTCCTATAGGTAGAGCGGTCACATGTAAAGCTCTTTAAGGCTTTAGATTGATGGCGCCAAACTGCCCTCCAGAAACGTGGTAACTGCTGCATCCTTTCGGTGGCTGGCTTTCATTGTGTCCATGCAGGCGTGGTTTTTCTATTAGTTCTTCTACTCGCTGTTCCACAGAAGTCTGAAGAGGCCATGAGATTGTTTCTCCTGAGTGAATGTCCTTTCCCTCAACGTTCTGGGTATCCCAAATGTTTGCAGAGGATTCTCAAATATAAATGTTCCCAAATCCTTGGTCTCCACACGTTAGTTATTTCACATTGACCTTAACCGCATTTTTGCACATAAAGTGTGGCGATTAGGTTATTTGTCCAGAACTCTCAATTTTCACTTCAAACTATCCCCGGAGGGGTGAAGAGTAGATACCAGGAGTAATTGTCCAATTTTTGGCTTTCAAAATATTCTGCCATATGTGGCAAAAGGAACCATCTAATGCTACCTAGAGATGATAGGAATTAGTTGGTTTTGAGCCCAGTGAAAGTCTAAAATATCTCTTTCAGGGACATATAAAATTCTTTATGTGGATTTTAATTTAGTCACTACAGCTCATCCATCAAGTATCAGATTAAATGTGTGTCTTCTCTGACCACCCCCATACTCCCAGCACATGGTATGGCAACCCCTGGTATTTGCCTTATTAGCATTCATCAAACTTGTAGTTAGGCACTTACTGGTGTAATTCTTTGCTTAATATCTGACTGTCCCACTTTGTTTTAAGATACAGGAAGGCAAGGGTCTTGTCTGCTTTGTTTT